ACTTTCAAAAAACTATAATAGCTGTACTGTGAGATTACAAAGCAGTTTTCAATTAACATAATTCTAAAAACAGATCAATACATAAATATGGAGAGCACGGAAGAATACATACAGTTATCCAGCCCTTACCAATTCACTAGTGCTTCTTCTCATTCCCAAATTACCCCGAGAACTGCTAATAGATCCAAAACTACTTCCTGCCCACCCCTGTTTTACTCAACAGGATGACTTCCCTAGGGTAAGAAACAGGAAACCTACTATGTTATCTCATCTCCTCTTGACATACTATAGAAGACCCTGGTGGGACCACAGTGCCAAAACATTCTGGATGACTAGAAGCAAAGGGAATACTCACATGTCTCCCCTACATGAAGAATCTCACACAGCATAAAGGAAAGTTGGATGCTACTCCGAGCAAATGGGCATTCATGTTTATCTTCTCGGCTGCTATTCTCAAGAATAAACTAAGAAAAGAGGGTCAGTATTAGAACCCACTGGATGTATTCTGGCAATGATCATGGTTTCCATTACTGAATGCATTCAGTCTACAACCACTATCTTGAGAACCGATTTTAAACCTTAGAACTTGTCCATCTCCTTTCTGTCATCTCTGACAATGAGTTATGAAGATGAAGACTTCAAGTTTCTTTGGTGCCATGTTGATTGGTCCTAACAAAGGTGTCACCCAATGACAGAGTATAGATTTGGAACAAATGAGACAGCATGATCATAGGAACATAGACTACTTTCTACTTGGTTGATAGACTCAGTCTATCAACTTGACCAACAGAGGATCTAGGCTTGCTTTCCCAGCTTTCAGCTGCAATCTTCTGCACAAAAGCAGAAGCTATGGATTTCCATCTCTCTGCTGGCTTCCCACAGATAGGTAAAAATCTTATTGATTCCAGACGGTTACTAAAATTGACAGTGACTGCTGTATCCCATTTTTAACTTTGCTATCTTGCACATACAATACTTCTCTTTTGTGTGTGAATGGTGTTATTTTGGCCCCATATAGATCCATGCCAAGATAATGAGTCTATCAGTATTGATTATGTACCAATAATGTGTCTGTGTGGACTCTTTGCAACCACATAGATAGATCATCTCCAGGTTGAGCTATTGGTATGGAGAAAGTTAACTATTATCCCATAAAAAATGTCATGCAAACCAACCCAGTGTTTAGTTTAACATCTCAACCTTCTCCATCTGGATGCTTTCCAGTTGTCTTGAAATTGCAACTCCCAGAATTCCCAAGGGGAATATTGGCAAGGAATTCTGGGAGTTGCAGTTCCAATACACTGGAAGTTGTAAAAGTTGAAGAAGGCTAATGCTTCGGGTAAGCTCAAAAAACAGACCTACTATGAGTGCAAATCATACTAGTTAATCTCAGAGCCTCTTACTCTTAGAGCAGAAATCCAGGAAGGAAGCAGCAATCAGGCAAAGGAGCAGCCTTACAAAGAGAACACCCGTTGCTTACCCTGCTGTAGGCATTTGGGAAATGCCTGGAGAAATAGACCATGCTGTCCAGTGCAAGCAGCCCTGGGGGGGTCCGGTGCAGATCCAATGCAGGGTTACTGTTATTCTGAAACAGGAAAATTCATACAGGATACAATTCCTGTTTCCATGGCTTTGAAATCAATAATTCCACAACATTTCAAAAAACACGTACTCAATCCTTCTTGCTTGTAAAGGGTTTTGGCTGAACAAACATATGTGGCTGGAAGAGCACCTATATTTTCCGTATTAAGGAATACATTTGCACCATGTTCAAATGACTACGGTGCAAAACTACTTTTTTTCCTGATAGAAAAACTAGCTATTCTTTAAAAAGTTGCATGTCCAAATACCTGGTTGGAATTAGAGGCCTATCCAGGCCTCTTTATATTGTTGAGAGCTCCAGATTCTCTAGCCCTCAACAAAGTATAAGATGGGTCATGTTTTCCTTACCAAGTTCAGGCAGAAGTAACTGCTAGATTGCTGGCTCCAAATACTCTTTTTTTATTTCTGATTAGGCTCTGGAACAACTTTATGGATATAAGGGACATGAACAATGGCCAGGCCAAGTCCTGGCCTGTGCTTAGAGATCCAGGCCAGAAAAAAATGGGTCAGCCTGCATCCCTACAATACAGTTATATGACCCTTAGATTTCTTCTTCAATGTTCTGGAAAAATGCAGCAGGACTTGCAACCCAATATTGGTGGTTGGGTGTTTATGGACCTTTATATAAATCCCTTAGCCCAGCCCACTATTTCCCCATCATGGCTCTGCTCACTTTTTCACCAAAGTCTGCCCACTATCTGTAGCTCTTGGCCACTAAAAGGCTGTCTGGTCCTGGTGGTGCTCTCAATGAAAACTCCCCTCTTGCATCTGAGCAGCTTCAAAGAGTCTGGGCAGAACTCACCACGAAGCCCAGCTTGCGGAACTCCTTGGCACAAAGAGAGTGTCGACGCTCAGTGTTATAGCTGCCAGTGGAAGACTCGTTCTCAGACACAAAGGCAGCATGGCGCAAAGACTGGAGGAGATCCCGTTGTTCCTGTACACAGAAAAGAATCAGACTTTCTGGTTGGCTGAGGAAGGGGGAAGCTGCCACCCAATACATTGAGAAAGCAGGAGAGGGACTCAAGAAAAGGGAACTGACCTGAGAATAGGGATCCATTGGGGTCCTCATCCGACGCTCCAGAAGGTTCAGTGTGAGGGACTGCAGGACGTAGAGGTAGTGAGCCATCTCATCCGCAATTGGATCTGAGGCATGGACAATGTTCTGGAGAGGAGTCCAAGGGAGGCACAATGGAGGCTATCAGCCAGTCGCTAACACTGCCCCATCATTCCCCTTGGGAACAAACATCCCATTTCCTAAAGTGGGGTTCAGCAAGGACAAACGTGCCTGTCCACTGAGGTGAAAGCATTAGGCCAAGAAGCTGCGGGAGAGGACAGAGCGAAGAGACCCTCTGAAAGTTAGACTCGGCAGCCAAGGTGTGAGGGAGCAAAGAAGCCTAGGAGAAGGAAATAGATGACACCTCCATGCTCACCTTGTGGATAAATTGCCTGAGGTTCTTCTCCCCTAGATAGTCCATCATGTCCTAGAAATGGATAGGAGGCAATGAGACAATCCTACATTCTATCATACCATCCTTCTCTTGTAGACTGGGTGTGCAAGCTTACACTTTTTACCCACCAGGGTACATCTAAAGGCGTAAGATTTAAAACATCCACCTTACCCTTCTTTCTGCCTCGCCGGCATTGAGGAGGAGAGCAATCAGAAGGGCCATAGCTTTGAGTTGCAGCTGCGTGTTCATTCTAATAGAGAGGAAAAAAACCCAAGAATTAGGCTCCTTCCAATACCAAAAGGGCTTGGATCTCCCCACAACTTCCATGATCCTCACCAAGGATTCTCAGTGTGATCGCGAAAGAGATCCCCTATTTTCCAAGGTAGCATCCTGAAGCTGGGAGGGCCATAAAATCATCTCCACCCACCCATGAGAAAGGGATCAGCACAGCCGGTGGGAATCCCAGTGCTGGGAGATACAACTCCCACAAAGAAGCGATGAGGGAAAAAACACCTCATCTGGAGAGACTGGGATGATCACAAAAGAGCTGGAGGCAACTGACAGAAGTTGATATTTCATTGGCATCCCTCTCTATAGGCAGAAGGATGGAACATCGCGGCTGCAATCTTGAAAAGCAGCATTCCAGTCTGCAACCTTTTACTGGATTCCCCTGTCCCAGTAAATGAGAGCTCCTGATGGGAAACAGCAGAACCATTTCCAAACTCCATGGCTTGTGGGTTTCCTGAAGGTTGGACTGCCCAAAAGCTGCTCCTTACTGGTTATCCTATGCTTACACTTGCAGGAGAGCAATGAGGCGGTCCAGGGTCACCTGTTGCTTGACCAGCTCAAAAAGAGCCCGGCTGGTGGGCACCATGTTCTCCAAGATGGCCAGGGAAATCTGCTGGATGGAAGCATCCAGGGGGATGATATTGATGTAACTCACGATCTACAGCCAAAGAAGAGGGTTTCAGATAATTAGACGACCAAGAGAGATCAAAATCTCAGTTCACTTAATTGCTCTGATTCCTTCCTTCTTTACAACCACAGAGCTGTAGCTTTCTAACATGGCTGGCACTAAAATACTGCACTCTCCCGGGCAGTATTTGTACAAACTAAGTGGTCAGTCACATGGACAAACAGTTATGAAAAATTCTTTATCTTGGCTTGAAGCCACTGCAATCTTGGTTCTTAAGCTTTTAGCAGTGCAGAGCCTGTGAATACTCAGAATTTCTCAGCAAACTATACAATCCTGAAAATCAGATGTACTTCTGGAAATACGCAATTTCCTCTTGGCTCCCGTTGAATTGACTCTGCAAAATATCAAGTTAATTATTCCAGAATTTGATAAAGCGCTCAGATCCTTGCTAAAGTAAACCTCCTCAATTACTGGAAGGAGATCCATATATGCCTAGGGTCTTCCTGTGGGGTCCCCCATCGCTTCCCGTATTAAAGTCTTTCTGGCGTCAGCCAAAGATACTCTTTTTTTCTCCCAAGCCTTTCTCATAATTTTTAAAAACAATATTAATGCATTTAACAAACATGAATAAAAACCACACAACAGTGATAATGCAAGCAAAAAAAATATTAACATATAATAGTGATAAAATTAAAGTAAAATACCTTGGCCTTTTTCAAATGTTGTACAATTTGACTCTAAGTGACCATTTTGCACTGAAATAGTAGAGCTTTTAAAAAAGCTTTCCTGTGCTACTTATTTTATTGTTTTTATTATACTTTTTCAGTGTGTTTAGAAATGCCTAATATTACAACCCACTTTGTAATCGCCTCAGCAAGTTTGATTATTGGGTAGATTAGAAGGTAAGCCGACAGATACGTGGATGTAGCCAGCCACTGTTCCTAGTTGTGACTCAGAGGCATTCTTGAAAATAAATATGATGCTAAAGACATAGGTTTTGCAATACACTAACTTCTTGTTCACTCATTTTAAAAGGAGAAAGAGAGATAGGAAGAAAAGGGAGAAGGTGTGTGTGGGGGGGGGATGTATCTATGAGGAGGAGAGTGATGTGGGAGATCAAGGCTGTCAGGAGGGAGGGGGCGTATTCCAGGAGGGGGGAGGAGGCAAGAGGCAACACAGTCTGCAGGGGGAGCGTGAGAAGAGAAAGAGGTTCAGGACAGCCACTCCCTAGAATCTCCCAGGATATATCCACCAGTTGCTGTAGTATAGATTGAGTCTGGCAAGATTCTGTCTATAAGGTGTAAGCAAATAAAGGAACTGTACTCGACTAGACTGTTTCACCGTTGTTCTTGGGCTGGGCCTGACAGTGTGTGTGTGTCAGGAGCCTATGGACACAAAATGAGAGGTCCATGAACTCTGGTTTGCCTACCTCTGTTTCAAACTCCACTAAGTT